TTTCTTGATTCACGATTTAGCTACCTTTGACGTGGCCTTCATCGGGGCTAATGTCTTATTTGGGTTGCCAACTAGCACTTCTTATCTCTGACTAATTAAAATGACATTGGCTTATCAACTATGTGCCACCCATTATAATCATTTTAATACGTTCAATTTCTGATGTCAGGATCGTTGAAACTACTCCTTTCGTTCGCTCTACTTACATACTGTCCGGTTTCCTTGTTACATTCGGTCCATACGGACGGCTCCTATGTATACTCTCATATGTAGATCTTTATTTCCTTTAGTTGTCAATAATTTTACCTCGTCAACACGAAACAATCGATAGGTAGGTATTAGGTACCTACCGATTTTTTTTGTCGGTACAGTTTCTTCTTGAAGCAATTTTCTACTCGTTTAAAATGTTTTTGTGCCGATACTTTGCACACATTTTGGACGCCTAGGTACTTATGCCGATATTATAGTTATTCGTTTTTTTCTCATTATTAATATTGTAACGAATTTAGTCGGTAGTCGCGATTGGAGTTAGTGGTAATTATATCCTAGTTTTGAGGGGGTAAATTTCAAACCAACAGGAAGTCATGAGGTTCGAACCCTTTCATTATTCCTGTTGGAAATTTATTACTCTATATTATATTCATTACAGAAAATATGTAATTTTTATAATTTTAATCGAAAAAATTGCCCGTAAATATTTTTACTGAAAACTGTGCTTGCTTTCTTAGCATGATCCTGCTGAAATCCTCCCCTTCATTTTACAATAGTTTAAGTGTAAGATTTTCATATTTTGTTAAAATTGTATGCACTATTGGATATCTGCTTTTGACATATAAAATTTCAAATAAGTATTATGACATGTTGTAGGTACTACTACAGAGTGAGGAAAATCCTAAGGGTTAGCGATCCACCAACCATCTCCCCCTCCCAAGATATTTGCACTGATCGAGGTAAATGTTTTTGACGAAAACGTACATAAATCTACTTATATTCTTGCAAATAAGGGCGGCGGACGGAAAAGAGATTATCTTACTATAATTAATTACTGTCTGCATTATTTGATACCCTTTCATGAATAATTGGGTGCAAAAATGTTGTTATTTACATTGAATACATACAAAATAAACGAATCGTAAATTATTAGGTCAAGACAGTATTAACATTTTGTAAAATCGCACCCACATAATATTATGTTAAAACGAGTCCAGTGTGCTTGACCCGTAGAAAAAAAATAGTAAGGAATACATGTATGAATACCACGACGTAATAATATGAAATGAAACAACTGCAGTATTTTATTTTTAAATTGCATTAGATCGATTCGAGTGTTAATTACGTTTTCAGTTACTTCTTCCATTCCTGAAGAAACTTTTTCTACGCTAACCGTGTGTAAACATATATTTAAGGAGGAACACTATCTACAATGTAACTTAATGGATTGGGCATGGCTAATATACTCGTAAATAAAAAAAGAGACATTAATGAATTATGATTACTGCTTTCGCTCAAAATTATTCTATAGGATGCAATTGTTAGAGAAAAGAATAAGTATAAACGTATAGTTCCTAGTTATTTTATAAGCATAATATATATCATATCCTTTTTCATTATTAAATTTTAGGTTTTTAAATAGAAGTTTAAAGATTATAGAGAATCTATGTCCATGCTGTGTTCGACGTCTGTTCATTCAACCATAAAATCACGGATTTTGTTGATTGGGTTGCTATAGGTTACCAGGTTTTTAATTTTATACATAATATTATATAATGCATACGGGCTCGCAGAGTAGGCTTTTCTAACTTGTTTTTTAAATACATTTTTCTCTAAAGTAAAATTAAATTAAAAATAAAATAAATTTAAGTACATTAAAACGGCACCTAAATACTAACCGAGTACAAAATTACAAAAAAAGGTATTGGTTACGGTAGAAAGTAGTAATATATCGCCGTAGGTCTGTGGCGGCTATTTATAATTTGTATGCTCGTCTGACCGGACCGGGGTACTTTAATTACGGGGCCGGCCGTCGTTATAACGTCCGTCTGGAATAGCGACGGACGATGATAATGTCCAATTATCTACACATAATATATATAATTAGTGTTGTGCAGGAAAAAGACAAATTGGACTTCATCGGCCCCAACAGTCGTAGTGGAACAGAACTACTTCAGGAAAGTATAATGTTATATTAAATCGATATTTCTGCGTTAAAATATACATGTTCAGAAAACGTTTTCGGCGATTTTTACTGAATGGCAGAAAGGTTTATAATAATATTATTATAGGTATAGAATATACCTATAATATTATAAATACGGGGTCTCCATGAGAATCCCGTGCCTAGCTGCTGTGCACAGTTTAAAACGGCAAACGGGGGATGAGCACTCGGAGTCCCAGAGGACTCGCGGACTCGACCGGGTATACTGTATCGAAAAGAGAAGAAGAAGAAGAATAAGAAGAAGGAGAAAAAAGGGTCAGACCTTTTGGCCCGTCCCGCGGAGACGACGCGCGAAAGTCACCCTCGGTCGGTATATTTCATTGGGGGAAGTTGCGTATATTATTTATATTTATATCCACGGGAAGTCCTATACATATATACTGCACGTAAGCACAGACACATTCTAATAAATATTACCGCACCACACCCGTCTCATGGTATCGTACAACAGTAGGTAGGTATGATAGAGAATTTTGTCTGAAAATACTATTATGCCACCGATTTTTTTGTTAAATAATAATAATAGTAATACTCTGATACGATAGCAGATATAGAGAAGCCGAAACGTGAGCAGAGTAATAATGTAATAATGAGTAAAGGCATAGCAATTATCTACATAAAGATTTTGAGTAAAATTGATTTTAGGGTTTTTGATATCAGTCTTAAGGCCTTTTATTGATCAATATTTGATATTAGCGATAATATTGATCGTGCATGGACTGAATTAAATGATTGATCAATATATTGAATAAATTAAAAATGTTTGATTTTTATTGACGCGCTGTCAATAATATTGTGTGTTGATAGCACTGTTTAATAATATTGACAAGAACTCTGGTAGCATGCTGTCAAAAATTTGAATTCTTCAAAGGTGTTCTAAGTAACGCTAAGTTAAGGAAAGCCTTTAGCTGACTTAAATCGCTCCTCGCATTATTGTATCTTGTTTTTTGATCAATGGAGTGACCAAAGTTCAAAAGTCCATTAAATCATTGTTCATTTAGCCTTCAAAAATGTCTATAGTTTTCTGTTTGATTTAATTGTAGACGAGATAAAACATTTTCTTGATTATATTTATTTTGCTTTTTTAACCACTATTTAGCCCGAAATTTCTGCTTGCGTTTCTTCTTTTTTTATTGATAAAAGAAACATCTACTTAAAACTAGAGCTATCAGTGGCATAGCCAGATTTATGCAAGAGGGAGGAGGTTGAAGTATGAATTATACTATTAGCTTTTTACAGTTTTAGATTCTGAGTGGAGAGATGAATGAATGTATTGGTTTTACAATGATGTTTATTTATTTATTTTTTCTATAGACAATTTTGCTCGAATTTACAATTTTTCTAAAAGGAAATCTGATTAGAGAGATACTTTAAGTAGATTATTTTTTTAATTTTCCCAGGAGTTTTCCTAATAAATTGGAAAGTCCGAGAAAAACCATGGGAATAACGAGAAAATAGGTACAATATTAAACAAATATTTCTAAAGAAAATCTATAGGTAATTATTTTACTATAATATGACATAAGTATTGTTGACAAAGTAACACTATCAACCGGACTTCGCTCAGTATTGTTTTTTCGTTAACAATGGTTTATCATTCCTTACAAATATACATTAAATTTCCCCTTTACTACTTTTGCAACTTCTCACCTATAACAATGGTGGCATCCAACCCTATTATCCTAGGACAGTTTTTTTTTTTTTATAGTTTTTGCTCAGTGCTTAGGTACACTCTTATTGAGATATTCAAGAACCATGTTCAGTGGTGTAAATAGAAAAAATTATAATCACTTGATTGGTATATATATACTATAATATGAAAGTCTTCAAATATATTATTGTTAATTTACAACAGACATATTTTTCTTGTTTTACTGCTAACTGATTCAAAATGACTTCCGGCTATATTATTATTTTCTAGAAAACTGTCAGATTTATGAATATAAACATACGAATATATCAAATGTCGTGATTAATATTGTAATTAGTCGTTACTTATTAGAATAGTCATAAACCACAACCAGAAATTGTGGTGCATACCAAAATCCACGGTTGTTAAAAAATCGTGATAAATGATAATAATAAATAATTGTAACATAATATTATAATAATCTATTTGGTTTCTGGACGAATTTTAAAGAACAAAGAACATACATTATTTCCTTCATATATAATTAATATGATACAATATGAATTATTTTAATAGTTATTCATAGTAATGTTTAACGCTCAACCTTGTGGTTCCGCGAAAAAATAATAGGTACATACTAAACACTAAATAAAATACCAATTTAATTCAAGGGAAAAGTATATATTGAATTTTATTACATTTATTTATTAATTTATTATATTTATTATATATTCACTGTAGTATATCGTTCATTTTTTGTTTACTCAAAGTCAATCCCGCCTTCGAAAATAATCGTTTACTAGGGACAGATGTTGCAACAGATATTAGATATTTAATGGCGATTTTTGATATTATAGGATATACTTATCGAAATGAACGGTTGCGTCCCAAAATGTCATCGTTCGTTAAATATAGTATTATTACTTAATATTTGTTGTATAGACTATTTAAGAAATAAGCAGCTCTACAACTACTCCGCTCAGAATCGTTTTTCATTAGCAATGATTGATCGTTGCATACGGATGTACATTAAATACCCCTCTTCATACCTACCTTCTTAATTTTTCTCCTACAACTGTGGCCTACACATCGTAAGACATATCGGTAATGTAATATTTGTAGTCAAATTTTCGACCCTATAGGATTACTGACGCCGATGATATTCTACGCCAAACATATTATGCACGAGATCTGGGAGTCGGAGCTGAAATGGGATGAGCCTTACCCTTGAATTTGTGCAAAAACTGGAAAAAGTTTACTGATGAACTACTGGTCCTCCCCACACTCAAGATACCCCGTTATATCGCAACTCAACTTAAATCTCGAGCTCAGTTGTGTGAATTCTGCGATGCTTCAGAACGTGGTTTTGCCACAGTCTTGTATTTTCGTGTGACACCTCCAAACGGTGTCGTTTCGGTGTTCTTGCTCGGTTTCAAGACGAAGATGTCTCCGATGAAGTCTTTGATAATTCCGAGACTGGAATTATGTGTGGCTGTTTTACTTGCTCGCTGGATGGCACGCATGTTGAAGATCATTAAAGGAGAGTTGGAAGTCGATGTTCTGTTTGTTTCTGTCTGATTCCCAAATCGCTCTGTCATGGCTGGTATTAATTCACACACTTCCTTTAAATTCTTCATTTCTAACCTAGTGCATTTAGGGCATCAACTTATATCATCTTATCGCTGGCTTTATGTCCGTTCGGCCGAAAATCCGACTGACTTGAGAGGTTCGTTAGGTTAACCGTCATACCGTAGAAGCCTGTCGGCGTAAAAAAACCAATGTTACTATAAGCAATGTATCATACTATTTTAGTAAGCATGTTGCAATGAATTCTTGTCTTGAGTTGAAAAGTTTTGGCATCAGTTTACCCGAGTTAAACTAAATTACTATAATGTATAATATTATATTATAAAATCAATATAAAAAAACTCGTAGAAAACAATTCAAAATGAAAACGTTCAGAAGAAAAAAGGTAATCATCAACAATGATTTATTGATAACCATAATACCATGTTTGTTATTAGTATTAATGTTCAACCAATCAAACTGCAGTTCATCTCTGAACCAAGCTTAACTCACCGAAATCGGAGGTTTAACAATCAGTGGGTTAACTTCGGTTTAAACCACAGATAGTCAATTGTAATATCGTATTTTCCATTTGACTTACCTAGGTTAAAACTCCGAACCGAGTTACGGGTCCTTAGTGACATAGATTTGCTATGACATCGAGTCCGTGTTGGTTACACCCGATCATTGAACTCTATATGATAATATTATATAGAGTACAATGTACACGATACAGTAGTGCATACTGTATAACTCCCGTGACGCCTATGATGGATCTTTATTTATTCATTTTCTATCAGATGGACACTTAAATTTTAGAACAACTTACATTGATTATTTTACTATTTATTTATTTTTTGTTTTTTAATTTCATTTGTATTACCAGGTAACCCATAATTTTATCGCTGTTCTAAAAATACCAATAACCCGGTGTCAGTCATCCTAACCTACACCAATTGTGAATTTTAACCATTCAGGGACCGATTCAAACACACAAAAAAATGTCATCAAAATTTTTTCAGCCATTTAGGAGAAGTTTAGTGATATATACACGGGCAGAAGATATATAAAAAAAAGATATAAATAAATAATCAAGTTTTTAAATTTGATTTTATCATTTTAGTTATAATGGTAATAGGTTATTATGACTGTTAACTAGCCTCTTGAATTTCATTATAAATGGTTTCTACTGCATAATATCAAAATATCGAATAGGTACCGTAATAGAATTTGGCTCATAAATATTTTATACAATGATCAATAAACTGTGAAAATCGCAGCGTTATATTTTCATCCTCCTATAAATAACGCATACAATTTATTTCGTAAACTATCAATCATTTTTTTTTTTTTTTATAATTATTATTTTCAGACGTAAAGAGAAAATTGTAAAAATAAGTAATAAATATTCGGAAAAGGTTTAGTAATATTTGAGTATTATTTTTTTGTGCCTTTCACGAAAAAAACTTAAATAATCGTATTAATTACGTATAAAAGACACTAATTAATAAAACAAAAAAAAAAAAAAAAAAAAAAATAATGAAATGAAATAAAACTTTTTAACTTAAATAAAATAACGTAGTGTGCGTACATAGGTATATATATAAAAAAAATTGTAAAAAATAAAAATATTTATCAGACTTATTAAATCTAATAAACAAAAACAAATTTCTTTACAACAAATATTAATAAACGGCCTTAAGATAAATCTGGGACTAATTAAAATTAATAAAAACAAATACACGCCTTATTTATTCCGAGTTATTATGAATAATAACTGTTCATAAATAGAACGCACGCATAAAAGAGATGGGATAAAACAATTCTGAACAGAGTATATAATTGTCTTGTTTTTTTGTTCTATAGCCCAGAAATCAACAAAGATAAATCGAAGTATCGACATTTGTTATTATTTTGTTTAATTGTGTATAAAAACTTTTGCGAATCTAGACATTATTTCCTATGAATGTAACAGACGAATATAAAAATACTCCGCGTTAAAAACTTTGCGTTACTCCGCGGGGAAATAATAACTCGTTCATCGTCTTATCAAATAATATTTCCACCACTGTCATCACAATCGAAAAAGCCAGAAATAACCAAAAATTATTATATTATTCTGTTATATTAATATCTGAAAAGGCCCCTGTCGTTATTTTATTTCTAATGTAAAAAAAAAAATTATATCAAGTGAATAATATTTAAAAATTGTATAAATGAGGAAAATCAACAGAATTGCAATGAAATCGAAAAAATGGCAAAAAGTTGCACGAAAAATGTTTAGATTTTAATTCGTACTTGCATGGAACGAATTTAAAACTTACTTAACAATAAATCCGAGAAATAGAAGAAACGTTTCAAATGCAACAACTTCCGAACCCCCATAAATCTCAAGTCATATGACTATGTTATCGGCGTAGTTTTATTATCAATAGAGGTATCAGAATATCATATAGACCTTATACTAGTAGACTAGCTTTTTGTACACGTAGAACGGTCATAGATAGAAGGCACACTTCACGTGTGACTTGTGACTTTTACGTGGTATATACAATGACATCACTGATGTGATTATACTGCTCACCACTGTTTAATGTCTGACCGGTTACTATCTCAACTACTCTATAGGCAAGGCCAGTCTATTAGTATGTCTATGGAATAACCAGATGCTATAAATTATAAGTTATCAGTTAAATGTTTCCATTTAATTATTAATTTTAAATTTTTGCAACTTATTAAATTGTAGATCGTTTATAATTATCATTGCGAATTAAAAATTGTATTTAAAATGTCTAAGTATTTTATCGTTTTTCAAAAAAAAAAATAAATAAAAAATTAAGATAGGCAACGCCGGGCGAGACAGCTAGTTTAGTATATATATAATTAGGACTAATATTATATTATATTTATTATATACGAGTTATATGAACTATCTGATTATAATTATTAATTCAGTAAAATTTTCAGTGGCGTAAGGAAAGTGGCGTACCCATTGTCCTGTGCACTTCGTACTACTTTGAAAAAGCCCCACACTAACTTTTAGTATTTGGTGTGGTCCAGTCATTCTGGTAGGGGGTATAGTATAGGGTTTGTTAACGCTGCCTAGTACTGTCACTGTCCGGGTTCTCTAAAAAAATAAAAAATTATTAAATAAAGATAAAATATATTGGTGAAAGGTGGCTGCTGGCAAATATGTTACAAACATTTTTTTTTGTTCTTTAAAATCATTTATTTTTCATTTTAGATTATGAACATAGTAAGGGACCTGTAAAAACATATTATGTACAATGGAAAAAAAAAAAAAAAAATCGAATTTTCGATTGGAAATTCGAAAAAAGTTGTTATAAGCACAATAATATGAACTTAAAAACTTCTCGGAGTTACAAATTATTAATATCAGGGATGTTTTACGTTTAAATGAGTGTTTTATACAACTTTAAAGTGATCATAGATTATTGAGTTTTTCATTTGAATGTTTTGTATTTTTCCGTGAAAATTTAAAAATCCAACAAGCAGAAACTAAAATAAATATATTAATACGAAATTGGACCAGATTTTCTCCGTTAATAATACGGCGTTAATGTAGGTATTATTATACCTAAAATAATTTCTGTAGCTCACTCTCTCACTTAAAGTTCGAATAATATGTCAGTACCTATGTTCACATTTAAAATCTGATTGGACTATTATAGAAGACCGAGAACGCTATTAGATTAACAATAATGTACAGTATTTTTTTCCACCACCTGAAAACGCTTTTTGGGACAGTAAAAAAGATTTACTCGACTATTTTTAGACGGATAATTTAACACGGAATAGGTACTTTAAAAAGGCCGTTTAATATTTGCTAGAGGGTTTAAAATTCCTGGTCCGTGAAAAAAAGAAACAATAAATTCAAAAAAAAAAAAAATACATTTTAATTGAAATTCTGAGCATTAATCGTTTTTAGAATCTGTAATGATTTATCGTTGTAGCTACTTAAAATTGTTAAATAAATATTGATGAATTTCTATATATTCCACCTTTTTGAAAAAATTTATGGTAATGTTTTTTTTTTGTTTTTAATAAATTAAAATTTATTTAAATATAGGATTACTTTTACTATAGTCGAATGAAATCGTAATATTGCCTAAGTTAATTAGTCAAACCTACAAAAGTTATGAGTTTCGAATTGGTATAATGCATTCGTATTGATAAATAAATAATATTTTGGCCAAAATGTTGTTGCCTTTAAAGTCCTAGATTAGATTCCTAACTTAATTTATTTACAAATAACTACAATATAGAAGTAGCATAGCTAATAAATCTACTACTTACTTAATCAATGAAATATAAAAATAATTTATTGTAGATATTATTATTATTACTATCATACTTTAAAACAAAAAAATGATGAATATATAATATTATGGAATTGAATAAAAAGTTAGTGAAGTAATTTTGTTATTTTAAACAACAGTAAACATATTTTAAATTACAACTAATAGATAACAGTTGTACCTACAAATAAATAAGTTACATTATATTTTATGGTTAATAACAATCAACATATTAATACAGGGGTGTACTTAGATCTGACTTTTGAGGGGGTTTTAATTTTTAAATAAACAAACTGGGTGACATGAACGAAGTAAGATAAATCGTGAACTTTAATGAATAGATTATTCATTTTTTATATTTTTAATAGTATGTCATAATATAATGTGTTGTGAAGTCTAAAATTAACCTAATTTTACCATTTAACTTTTTGTGACATAGAGAGATGCGTGAAAATGACCCCCTTGTTGCACAGGCCAACTTTAAAATTTAAAAGTT